ATTCACCAAGTGCGTGCTGTCTGGTTGACTGAACATATTTATATTGTGCTATCACACTTGCGCATAGAGATTTACTGTAGTTTGAATTCAATTTGAATAATGATATTGTTTGTACTTTATTAGCTTACAAGGGACCTTCAGATGAAGAAAATCCTTTTGCCTCATCCTTCCAATATCCTCCCAGTACAGAAAATGAGTTCAGTGTCCTGATATCTTTTCTCTTCCTGGTAACCACTGAACGTCAACTGAGGCTATACTGCTCAGTTCCCATTAATGCCTTCCCATCTCAGTCATTATCCTATTGACATTCCCAGTTGCTCCCTCCCAACTCAAGGAGCCCAAGTGGAACCTCAGGGTTTTGTTTGACTCTCAACTCTCCAGTCTTTTCATCTGAGCTCTGAGCAAGTCTGCTCTCTTCCGTCTCTGCAACATCGCCAGCCTCTGCCACTACTTCACCCCAGCACAGTCAACTGCACATCCATGCCTTACTCACCTCGAGACTCGANTTTTTTTGTCCATCCTGGGGTAACCTAGCTGTTCAGTTCCTGCCAGTGTTGTGAAACAAGGAGATTTAATGAATGCAGGATGTTCAAGAGGGAGTTCAGGCATCAAATAACAGAAGTTGTTGTAATAATTTGGATTATGCCATGAAGTGTCATTGAATTGAGTGAGATACCAGTAAGATTCAAGCTCTGAATGCTGCATGTTCCCAGTGACATAGAAAATTACCTTTTTGCTATTCTGTAAACACATTAATTCTAGTTTAATGTACTTTGCTGAGTTTGCTGTTCCTCTGCTGTTAATTGATTTTTGACACCATATGTTAGTCTGACGCTTCGCCATGGATGAAATTTGTCCTATATAATAATAAATAATAATCCTTGCATTTGATATAGAGGTTTTCACATCTTCTAGATGTCCCAAAGCACTTCACAGAATATACTGGAAAGTGAATTGACTGTATATTTGTGAGCAAACCGCAGCAGCCAATTGCTCACAGCTGTGTCCCCACAAACAGTTGTGGATTGAAGTGACCAATTTATTATTGTTTTTTTCTTCTTGAGGGATTATTATCAGACGTGTGAAGTAAGGAAATTTACCCAAGGTTTTGCCCTGCCGGGAATTGAACCCAGGTTTCTTGCTTGTGAGGCAAGTGCTCTAACCACTGAGCTACAGGACTATATAAAAAGCAAAATTAAGCTGCATAGACTACGAGCTGACACAGTCATTGCCATTTCTTCCATTCAGACTGGAAAGTAGAGAGGATTGGATTCAAAGGGTCCAAAGTCAATCACTCCATTCCCCAAACTAATTAGGAATGTTAAATGACAAGCTGATGTATAAGTAATTCAAGAAGCTATTAAACATACTATTTACCCATTTGGGTTCTATTTTGTTAAGGTTTGTCTCCTTAACCCTTCCACCTGTTAGAAAATAAAATCAACCAAATCTGCAAGGAAATAACGCTAATTCCTCTAACCAGATATCAGACTGTTTTATTATAATTCGTTCGTTATTCCCCAATATCCCGATGGGTCAGACCAAAGGCCGGTACAATCAACAGATCTTATAACAGAATAACACCACTATAGATATCTCGAGTTCAAGTGTTCAACACTGTGTCTTTCCAGCACACAAGCTTGATTCTTCATGCTTTCAGTCTTCTTGCTTACAGCTTTCAATCTTCCATCTGATATCCTCAGTCTTAGTGTTTCCAGCTCTAAGTCTTTCATCTCCCGTATCCTTGTCTCCACGACCCGGGACGGCTCCATCTCCCGTATCCTTGTCTCCGCGACCCGGGACGGCTCCATCTCCCGTATCCTTGTCTCCGCGACCCGGGACGGCTCCATCTCCCGTATCCTTGTCTCCGCGACCCGGGACGGCTCCGTACACAAAGTTATCAGAACTCTTATACCAATGTTCATCCAATCATGGTGCGGATATTAGATCACCCGGTCGAAATCATGCCGGGTTCACGTGAACACCTCATGGGGTGTATGTGCCTCACACACACAAACACACTGTCCTTGAGACAGTCCGTTATCTCGTGTACGTGCAGGGAGTTTCAGTCCAGCTGCCCACAACACACTTAACTTAAAAGTTAACCCGTTCGCAACATCTATTATGATTCTAACATTATACAAAAAGTGTAAATTCTAACACACCCAAACTTAAAAGTTAAAAATGTAAACTGTGCAATGTTTGGATAGTATCGGAGCAGGAGGATCAGAGATGTTCACAACCACAAGAGTTGGGTAGTTTCTAGCTAACAGGCAGCTGGGAAGTAGGTCTGCAAACAGATAACCACTATGGACAAAAAAAACATTAACTGTTTCCAAAAAGGGTGGATCATGAGCCTTTTAGTTTATACATAATACACCCTCCACAGGACAGTTTGCTCTTTATGTTTTGATTTTTCACTATTGCTGTTGAAGTTTGTTATTTGAGTCCAGGTATTCCTCTAAGTTTGAAGTTCTCAGTCTGCTGCTTTAGTTGAGTTTGCGTTCCATTCACTTGTCTCACTTTTAGCCACTTCTTTAGCTACAATGTTTCACTGTTTTTCACACCTCAGTGCTACACCTCGCTATGGACAGTACCAGTAGAACTATCCACCTTCTGCTACTTCACCGTGCATGACAGTAGTTAACAAGCCAATACATTAAATTGCCACGGTGTGTGGAATTTGGAATAATTAGCCTCCGACTGTTCCTCATCAGCAACTGCTCGCACTCTTGTGGAGTGACCTAGTTTGGGCAGAAGCTTCCCATAAGTTTACAAATACTTTTAGAGTGAAGACCAAGAATGATTTATTGTAACCCCGTTGAACCACAGTGCAAAATGAAATTCTTTCACAATATTTCAAACTGTTCAGAATCCTTGATCTCATTTTTAGGTTATAACAACAGCAACAAGAAAATTACATTTGTATAGCGCTCTTCACGTCGGGAGGACGTCCCAAGGCTCTAGACAGACAGAGTTACGGACCCGAGCTGAGGGTTGGGGTGGGGGAGGGGGGGGGTAGTGGGGGAAGCGGGGAGATCAAAAGTACGTTCGAAGAGGAGGGTCTTGAGGTGGGTCTTGAAGGTGGCGAGGGAGGGGGTGAGACGGAGTTATATTATACAGTGAATTCTGCTTTAGGTTGATATTGGTTAACCCCAGACGCGGTAAATTGAACAAAATGCCTGATTCATTTGTATTCTTATCTTCTAAATATGCCGACTGATTCGATCAAAATGCTGCACTGGCATTTTGACCACTGAATACCACTGAATATAATAATAATAATAATCCTTGCATTTGATATAGCGCCTTATCACATCTTTGAGATGTCTCAAAGTGCTTCACAGATTATACTGTAAAGTGATTGGACTGTATATTTTGTGGACAAAATGTACTCACTCAGACCTTCTGTGTGTCCAGCGGCTCCATTCATCCACGAGGGGCTCCAGGATGGAGATGGGGGGAGTCTAAGATTGATTGACAGTGGACTCCAGCCATTCACAAGTGGCTGGAGTTGAACTGTCAATCAGTGAGGGGACGGAGGAACGGGGAAGAACAGGGAGTGAATGGGAGGAGTCAAATCATGATTGACAGCTGAGCCACATTTGAATGGGTGAAGTGCCTGTCCATTCACAAGCGGCTGCAGGCTGTCCATCACCTCGGTGCCTCTGCCTGTTGGTTCCCTTCCCATCCAACGGGAATGGCAATTGGAGGGAGAAGTTGCCATCTCCATTCCTCTGCTGGGTGGGAAGAAGCACAAACGGCCATCCCCATTGTGTCCGGCTGAACAGGCTTCCACTATTATTAAAGCTTGTATAAGTGTCCAAGTCTAGGTTACCTTTGATTTAAGGAGAATTAAGCAACTAGGACCTGTATCAGGCTTTAGTATTGATTGGAGAGGTACTCAGCATATTGAGAGGGTACAGTGAAATTAGACACCTAAGTTTTGAGAAGCAGCTACAGCTACATTTGCTGTGTGGTGCATGACACTCTAAACCAATAACACATCAGCAGGACACCACATAAATCAAAAGGACATGCTCAATTATACATTTCAGTAGTAGACACATTCAAAGTTGCTGTAGTCCCTGCTCAAAACTAGGTAGCTAATTCTGCCCATCAATCTTTGCTGTATCCTCTCTCGATGCATGTAATACCCTCTCAGATCAATACTGTAAGGCTGATACATTGCCCAAACTGTTAACCATTCCCATTAAATCCAGAATAATCCAGTCTTAGGTGCCTTTTCATTGTACTGGAAAAGTTCTCTCTCCTCGCTACGCCCACTATGACCAGTCCACTGTGACTTTTATATTATATATACTGTACTTGCTGAATATTTGACATTGTTCATTCGATTGTTTTGACAGAAACGTCAGTGCTCACCAAAACGTGTTTGTTTAAATAACTTGATAACTTGATAGCTTTCTAAACCTCAGGGTGATGAGCAGAGAATAAAGGGATGGAAAATCTCTTACTACTTGACTATTTTGTAGAATCTGAGATAGATTTCCTCATAGGAAGTTTTGTGCCTTCAAGTCTTGAAAATGTCAGATTAACATTTTTAAAAAAAAAGCCTACCAGCATGTTCTAGTTGCATCACAGAATGAGCCCGAACCTCTGGAACTCTCTCCCTCAATCCCTCCGACTTTCCCCCTCCATCCCCACCTTCACATCCCGCCTAAATACCTTCCTTTTTGATCGTGTTTATGGTCACCTCCCCACTCCCTCTTCCCCTGGCTCGTTGTCAGACTCCGCCATTGTGAAGCGCTTCAGGATGCTACCCCAAGTGTGTTATATAAATGCAAGTTGTTGTTGTTGAGCCACATTAATGAGTTATAGAAAGGATTTGACAACATTCAGTCAGGATAAATCTGGCTGAAAATTTCTGCCGCTACCAAGCTGTGCAGATCGCCTGGAGCAGTCAGGAGTGCGGTCTTTTGTGTCTGCATGTTGGGATAGATCAAATAATGACCTTCTGACTTGATTTGTTTTAACAGGTCGAATCGAGGGATTCTCTGAACAGTATCTCACTGAAGTTTGACACTACACCCAACGAGCTGGTGCAGCTGAACAAGCTGTTCTCCAGAGCTGTTGTTACAGGCCAGGTACACAGCTTTTCCCCTTTTTATGCACTTGGGCGTTTTTTGGTGTAATAAAATGTTTCCATGTCTCTCTTTCTCTCTCTCTATGATATGATAGAGTATATGCAGACACATTACTGATGCCCTTCATTGTGTAATGAATAACCAATGAAAATAATCTGTTATTAATTATTTTTTTCCTCTATGTTTGAGCATTATGGACCTTCCCTGCACTCTTACCATCTCATTCCTGGTCTAGCATTTACTTTGTGAACTTGGTGCTCCACTTTATATGCACAATTATTTTGACAGTGAACCTAATTATATTAAGATTCACTATCTCCAATGCTCTCTCCACCCTTGTTATCTGATTCATTCCCCACTAACCAGGTCCAATACTGCCCTATTCCTTGTTGGACTTGTGATATACTCATGTAGAAAACATCCAGAAAACAGTCTTAACATCCCCTCTCTGTTTTGTTGACAAGCATTAGCTCTCGTCCCTTGGGAAAATTGAAGACCCCAATAATAGCGACTGGCTTTGTCCTACGAAATTCTCTTATTTGGAGTCCATAAAGATCACTGAAAGATTGTAAAGAATACATTATTATTTACTTCTACTCAGATTGATTCAATCGGAATACCATACTTAATATCTACTTTCTCTCAGTGACCTTTATAAACTCAGATTAATATTGCTACACCATCTCCCTTCTTGCCTTCACTGACTGTCCTGAAATTTCTGCAGACAGGGATATTTAACTCCCTCGCCATGTTTCTGTCAAGGCTATGACATAATAGTTTTCAACAGTAATTATGCTGTCCCGCTCCATGACCTTTATTTCATTCCCTCTTCACAGAGCTTCTATTTTATTCGGAATCTTTTTCTAAAAGCGATTCATCCTTTTTGGATAATTAGACCTTATACCCCATCCTCTGAGATTTGTCTACTTTTTCTCTAGCCTTTTTTACCTCCATTGAACCTATGTTCCCACTGTTAATTGACCACGCATTCGGTCATCTTTCCTCTCCTGACACCCTTTGGCTCCCACCCCCAGCTCAGGTGCCTTGCCAGTATTGTTAAACGCCTTGGGACATCCTCCCAATGTGAAAGGAACTATTTAAATGTACATTTCTATTGTATTGTAATTGTTCTTTAAAACTATCTGGTTCCAAGCTAGCTGCATAATTCATTTAATTTTTCCCCTCCCCTCTTTCATTTTAGTTTCAACTCTTCTCCCACAACTTCTGACTAATGAGGCTATTAGTCCCAGCCCTGTTCAGGTGTAGACCTTGCCTTCTCAGAACTAATCCGAATGCCCAGAAAGCTGAATCCTGTCCATCGAACATCCTTTTGCATTATGTCTTTACAATATAATATAAATTTCCATTTGTATGGTGCCTTTCACGTTAGGAGGATGACTCAAGGTGCTGTATTTAACCTTCCTAATCTCTCTTCCTGTTCTAGTTCTGTTGGCGTTATTGCTTGTGACTGCCTTCCACCAAGCAAGCACCTTGAACACATCTTCAGTGCTAAATATTTATTTGCCAAAGCAATGATGCCCACCAGGACTTTTGCAGTCCCTTTACACTCTTCTTCCATTCTTTATAGCAAAATAGAATACTTTTGCAATGGAGCAGGCCATTCAACCTCATGTTATGTTAATGACTGGCGCTGTTGGCCTGGACAGAATAGTAATTATTTTCTACCAACCTATCTGGCCATTAGGTGATTACCTTTTGAAATGAGCATGCCAGAAACCCCTCAACCCCTGCAATTCCTTAAATTTAGCAAATTCAAGCTTAAGTGAATTCAGCTTGCTCTGGGCCCTTAAACAGGCCAACAATTCCCACACTTGGAAGAGATTTCTTTGTCTTGCCATTTTGCCTCTGCTGAACTCTTATCTCTGTAGTCTGCACAGATCAGTCAGTAATTCTTGCTCACATTTTAAATCTGCAAAGCTGCTGGAAGAGGATCACTTCCAGCTGTAAAGTAGAATTTTATGGATTTCACCCTTTTTTTCTATTAGTAAATTGATGTTGGGTTATTGTATTTACTGTTAACAATTTGTACAATGTGTGTGTGTTCAGGTTGATGATATTCTTGTGACCTATTTGCAGATTCTGTATGTGCCTGATCCTGACTACATCTCCAGCGTAGAGAGTTCTCCATCGCTGAGCCCTGTCAGCCCTTTGTCACCAACCTCTTCAGAGACCGAGTTTGATAAACCTACGGTAGGAATTGGGAGAGGGAGAAAAGTCTTTTGAATTCTGTTGAGGACAGGTTTGCAAACTTCAAATATAATTCATTTGAAACAGATGGTAATTCATTGGGTAGGAATCCAGGGAGTTTCTCCTGGTGCCCTGCTCAATCATCCCTCAATAGAATTGGTTATACTCTTCATCGCTGGTTGTGGGACATTGCTATGCTCAAATTGGCTGTACACTTACCTGCAAAATACATGCTCACTCCACTTTACAGTATATCCTATGAAGCACTTTGAGGTGTCTTCCTGAGGTGAAAGGTGCTATACAAAATATGAGTATTATAACCATTCTCAAGAGGTGCTTGCACTGAGAATTCTTTCCTATACTACTTCTAACCAAAATTTACTCAGAGAGTTCCTCCCAGGACTTTTGCACATGGGAATTCATTAAGCTGACTCACTTGTCCACTTTTCTTGTCTGCTATTTCTTAATAGTGGAGCATTGTATGGGCAATCATGAATTTGGATAGGAGGGATAAAAAAAACTTTGAAGTAGAATACATATAAAGCAAACATCAATGCCATACCATTGGCTTTAAACACCCAGTCTGAGTTGCAGTATATGTGTCTGTAAACAAAGAAAACGCCACTACATCGATAAAAGGAAAACATTGTATGAAGGAAACCTGAATTAAAATCAGAACATTACGGAAATGTACAACTGGTCAGTTGACACCTAAAGGGGGAAAGAACCATGCTGCTTATTGATATGATAAATATAATTATTGTTGTGATGAATATAATTTTTTCCCCCAAGAGGGGGTGATTTTTCTAAAGGTTGGTGAATTTACCAACCTATAGAAAAAAGGTTGTGTAGTTAGGAACCTCAGATGCTCTACATTTACAAACCTTTGTGGTATGGACACATAATGGGAAATTGCATTAAAAATCGCACCGTACGGTTTTGTGTATTGTTGGCTAACATAATCTTTTGGATGCTAGCCATAAATCCCAAGGTATCGGGGGAGCAGTGAAGAAGTTGCAGGTGCCTGGCATGGACTGCTCTGGGTAACATAAGGGTCCAACTTGTGGGTATAAATATTGTTCAGTACTTGGCTGTGAGTTCCCTGCACTCCACATGTGATGTTTGGATTGCATTATTTGGTAGGTTTACTCAATACCTGAGGGTATATAATAAAATGTGAGAACTTCAATCCTTGCAATTGATATAGAGCCTTATCAAAACAAACATTTCGAAGCAGCTGTCTTTTGCAGCATCTGCCCATGTGTAAAATCTCCTGCAGGTGATTGTCAATGTCATGATGAGAAAGAATTAACAAGGACATCTCAGGGGTCACCAAGTGGATCTTGCTGTGTATTTGTGTCAGTTATGCTTGGTGGGCAGCATTTTCATCTTTGCATCATATGGCTGTAGATTCAAGATTTACAATGGGATTTAACATAAGAACATAAGAAATGCTAGACGAAAAAAGACCAAAGTACAAATTTGAGCTCCTAACCCACACTGAACCTCTCGTGTATTACTGGAGCATCATAATACTGTTAGTCATGCTTTCCTTGGAAATAAGATGTTAAACAAAGGTATTATCTTACTGTTCTGGTGGTTCAGATTTATGTTACAGATTCTGTAATGCTGCTTTGAAAAGCAACTGGACTTCCATTTTATTATGGCGTCTGGGATGCTGCTGGTTAGCAGTTGCTACAATTAAAAAACTTGTTATGTGAAGCACATGGAGATGCTTTAGTTTGATGAAGTGTTACCTTAATTTCCCCTGCAACATAGGCCAGCATAATATTCCAATACAGTACAAGAGACGTGCTGCATTATTGGAAGTGCTGCTCTTTGGATGAGTTGTTAAACTGAGGACCAACCCTTCAGGTAGATGTTCAAATTTCCATTGCAAAAAAGAGATGGGCATTTCTTCCTAGGGTCCTGGTCAACATTCACCCAGATAACCTTGGTCATTCACTTCTTGACTGTTTGTGGACATTAAAAATAATAATAAATTGGTCACTTCAATTCACGACTGTTTGAGGGACACTGCTGTGCGCAATTGGCTGCTACATTTCGCCCACAAAAATATACAGTCAATTCACTTTACAGTATATTCTGTGAAACGATTTGAGACATCTAGAAGATGTGTTAAGGTGCTATATCAAATGCAAGGATTGTTGTTATTGCTTGCAAATCGGCTGTCACATTTGCCTACAAAATACACAGTGGTTGCACTTTATAGTAAATCCTTGAAGAGTTTTGAGACGTCAACCCGATGTGAAAAGCACAATAGCAAATGCAAGAATTCTTATTTATCATTATTATTAGTATTATTGGCGAGTGATAATTTATTTCAGGTTTTATGACAGCACAGCTCGCTTCGGAATTTCCCGAATGAAAAGCTTAAAGAAGTGGAGCTGCTTTCATTGGAAGATAGAGCGTTCCTAGGGCGCCATTAAAGAAGATATCAAAATTCTGAAAGGGTTTTAGAGGTAAACAGCGAGAGATTATTTCCCACTAGTTATTGAATTGGAACAAGAGGGTATAAAATTAAGATTAGTGTTAGAAATATAATCGGGAGGTAAGAAGAAAGATTTCAACAAACAGATCACCATAATGGCCATTAAAGCTGAATCACTTCTATAATTTTGAAGGTAATTAGATCCACTTGAATAAAATCTAAACGAGAAACATATCTAAAATAGATAGTTCAATTAGGGCGATAGCATGACAGTGGCACCATAGGCCAATTGGCCTCCTGTGATGTAATGTGATGAATAGGGTGGTCAAACAGGGTGGTCTCTTATATGTAAGCAAATCTGTACAAAGGGAATTACAGTGTTTTTACTCATTTAATTAACCAATGTGAATATGGTTTGAGAAGTGAAGAGTTTTTCCTGGTGTCCTGGCCAACAATCCTCCAGACAATAATATTGGTCATTCACATTATGGCTGTTTGTGGGATGTTGCTGTGCACAAGTTGTCGGCCTTGTTCACCTACAAATACACAGTCATTTCACTTTACAGTATATCAAGTGAAGCATTTCAAGATGTTTCAAGGATGTAATGAATTACTCTTATCAGATGCAAGGATCATTCTTAACTATGATTATTAATTGTGTAATTGACACCTAATCCATTTAATTGGTTTACAGACAGCACATAATAGACACCCATAGAGTTGCTTTAAAGTGTAGTGACTGCTGCCAAATGTGACAGCTAATGTGGCCGAGAATCATCTAGTAAACAGCAGTGAGATGAATGACCAATTAATTAATGTGGGGGAAGAGTGCTACATTTATTTTCCTGTCATTAATTACTTTGATTTAAGATGCAGTTAAAATTGTGAGGGGGAAAAAAAATGGGTTTATACATTCAGATAAAATGACATGTTTTTCCTGTCAATGATAAAAACAGTTCACCAGTGATGATGCAGAAAGGCAGTGAAAGTTCATTTGCTGACTATGTAATTGGGTGCTTGCAGTGTTTCAGCTGTTCTTTCTATTTGCCGTGGTTGGTTTGACATGCCATTAATTTTGCGGCTGCAGCCTGTGCTGGCTAGCGTCTGTTAAGTGGAACTGTGCTGCTTATTCATCAGCCTCTTGCTGGCAAATAGTTGCAGTTCCTGTTGTGCATTTCTAAATATAGTCATAGCAGCAGCGAGGGGCTAGCGAAGAGAAGCGGGCGGACATTATTAGCTGGAAAAATAACTCTAATTTGTCTCAACATCATTTCTGCACAGACTGCTTTTTGGTGACTTTGATTGACACGATGACGTGCTGGCTTTCAATCTTAAGTTATTTTCTTTCTCTTAATTACAAGGAGTATATATATATTATTTTGATTTAAATTGCCCAGGATCCCATTGAAATGTAATTGCTATATGAAAAGAACCATTTGCCACGCCTGTTTTATTTTGTGTTTTCCTGTGGTAACAGGGGGGTCCTTATTCATAGTATGGAATCCAAGTAAATATGTATCATATGTTTATTTATTTACGGTTACTGTTCGTGCTTGGACAGACCCGATGTCTGCCACTGGCAAACATAACGCTGTCACTACCCACAGAATCTTGTAGCCGCTTTGATAGAATGTTATAGCACACAAAGAAGCCATTCGACCCATCACACAACAGTCTGCCTGTTCAGGTGGATGTTAAAGATCCTATGGCACTATTCAAAAAGAGAGGGAGTTTTTCCCAGTTTCCTGGCAAACAAATCTCCCAAATAAATTTGGTCACTCATTCCACGGCTGTTTGTGGGACACTGCTGTGTGCAGTTGGCTGCCGTGTTTCACCCACAAAATACACAGTCTATTCACTTTACAGTATATTCTATGAAGCGCTTTGAGATGTCTCAATGACGTTATAATGCGCTATATCAAATGCAAGGATTATTGTTATTGTTATCTGGTTCCCTCTTGAAAGTTAATATAGTTCCTGCCTCGACCAACACCTAGCAGGTATTCTATATCCTAACAACTTGCCATATAAAACAAAATCCTCCTAATTTCCCCTTTTGCTGGTGATCTTAAATTGATGCCCTCTTGTCACCAATTAGCAGAAATAATTTCTCCCTAACATATTAAATCCCTTCTTAATTTTAAAAATCTCCCAACAGATCACTTATCAACCTCCTCACGCCTATCACCCTAATCCTTGACAGGCTCCCTATTCCACAAAAGTTAGATTTCAAGTGATTTTCCATTTTAAACCATTTTTTGAGCATGCCTTCTGGGTTCTCCTCTATTTCCACGTCCACCTACCCCAGGTTTGCGGTTTGCATGTGCACTGTGCTTAGGTTGCAATCCCGGTGCTCTTTCTGAATCCTGGGATTTTAATGTCCCAGATCCCGAGATGCTAAACAGTGCCTCGGAAAAACGCCAAGAGTCACACATATGCATTCCCAGTACATCACTGCAGAAAAAGGCGCATTAAATATTTTCACTGGCAACCAGCAAGGCAGTACAAAAAAACAGCCAGGCGACAGCTCTATGTCCCACATGCACAGTTG